AAAATCCCGGGGTTTTTTGCCACTTTCTCCGGTTTTTTTTGCCTCACCTGTTCCTCCCGTGTCTCACCTGCCCCTCACCTGTCTCACCTGTCTCAACTGTCTCTCACCTGTCTTACCTGTCTCACCTGTCCCCAGGTAAATCCTTTAGGCAGATTGGAGTGAAATTATTGGAATTTATTCAAATTTTGGGCTGAAATCCCGGGGTTTTTTGCCACTTCCTCAGGGTTTTTTTTGCCTCACCTGTTCCTCCCGTGTCTCCCCTGCCCCTCACCTGTCTCACCTGTCTCAACTGTCTCTCACCTGTCTTACCTGTCTCACCTGTCCCCAGGTAAATCCGTTAGGCAGATTGGAGTAAAATTATTGGAGTTTACTCAAACTTTGGGCTAAAATCCCGGGGTTTTTTGCCACTTCCTCAGGTATTTTTGCCTCACCTGTCCCTCCCGTGTCTCACCTGTTCCTCAGCTGTGTCACATGTCCCTCATGTGTCTCTCACCTGTCTCTCACCTGTCCCTCACCTGTCTCTCACCTGTCTCACATAAAACCTCAAGGTACACTAAAATTTACCAAATTTACTCAAATTTTGGGCTAAAATCCCGGGGTTTTTTGCCACTTTCTGGGTATTTTTGCCTCACCTGTCCATTACCTGTCTCTCACGTGTCCCTCGCGTGTCCCCCGCGTGCAGGAGGCCGAGGTGGAGCACCGCGTGGCCGAGATGAAGCGCGAGGGTTTCTGGTCGCTGCGGCGCCTGCCCAAGGTGCCCGAGCCGGCGCGGCCCAAGGTGCACTGGGACTACCTGTGCGAGGAGATGCAGTGGCTGGCCGCCGACTTCGCGCAGGAGCGCCGCTGGAAGAGGGGCGTGGCCCGCAAGGTGGGCACCTGGGCACACCTGGGCACACCTGGGTGAAAGTTCCGTGAAATTTGGGTGAAAATCGGGCGAAATTTGGGTGGAAATCGGGCAAAAATCGGGTGAAATTTGGGTGTTTTTTGATGGTTTCCGGTGGTTTTTGGTGCACTGGAGCAGCTGTGGTGGCATCTCAGGTGGGTTTGGAGATGTGGAGAGGCTGTGCCCAGGGGCGTGGCCAGGAAGGTGGGCACCTGGGCACACCTGGGTGAAAATTCTGTGAAATTTGGGTGAAAATTGGGCAAAATTTGGGTGAAATTTGGGCGTTTTTTGATGGTTTCCGGTGGTTTTTGGTGCACTGGAGCACCTGTGGTGGCATTTCAGGTGGGTTTGGTGATATGGAGAAGTTGTGCCCTAAACCTGGGCACACCTGGGCACACCTGGGTGAAAGTTTCGTGAAATTTGGGTGAAAATCGGGCGAAATTTGGGTGGAAATCGGGCGAAATTTGGGCGTTTTTTGATGGTTTCCGGTGGTTTTTGGTGCACTGGAGCACCTGTGGTGGCATCTGAGGTGGGTTTGAGCACCTGGAGAAGCTCAGATGACACCTGGGCACACCTGAGCAAGAATTCTGTGAAATTTGGGTGAAAATCGGGCAAAATTTGGGTGAAAATGGGGTGAAATTTGGGGGTTTTGTGATGGTTTTTGGTGTTTTTTGTTTACCTGTCACAGCTGTGGTGGCATCTCAGGTGGGTTTGAGCACCTGGAGAAGCTCAGGTGACACCTGGGCACACCTGAGCAAGAATTCTGTGACATTTGGGTGAAAATTGGACGAAAATCGGGCGAAATTTGGGTGAAAATCGGGTGAAATTTGGGTGAAAATCGGGTGAAATTTGGGTGAAAATCGGGCGAAATTTGGGCGTTTTTTTATGGTTTCCGGTGGTTTTTGGTGCACTGGAGCACCTGTGGTGGCATCTCAGGTGGGTTTGAGCACCTGGAGAAGTTGTGCCCTAATTGTGGGCACACCTGGCCACACCTGGGTGAAAGTTCAATGAAATTTGGGTGAAAATCGGGCAAAATTTGGGTGAAAATCAGGTGAAATTTGGGCATTTTGTGGTAGTTTGGGGTGGTTTTTGGTGGTTTTTGGATACCTGTCGCACCTGTGGTGGCATCTCAGGTGGGTTTGAGCACCTGGAGAAGCTCAGGTGACACCTGGGCACACCTGAGCAAGAATTCTGTGACAATTCTGTGAAATTTGGGTGAAAATCGTGCGAAATTTGAGCATTTTTGGGCATTTTTTTCGTGGTTTTTTTACCTGGAACACCTGTGGTGGCATCTCAGGTGGGTTTGAGCACCTGGAGAAGCTCAGGTGACACCTGGGCACACCTGGGTGACATTTGGGTCAGTTTTGGGTCAGTTTTGGGTGGATTTCAGTGGTTTTGGGTGCGTTTTGGTGGTTTTTTGTTACCTGGTGGCGTCTCGGGTGGGCTTGATCACCTGAGGTCCCACCTGGGCACACCTGGGCACACCTGGGCACTCCTGGGCGGGGTTTTGAGGAGCTCTCAGGTGATTTTTGGGTTGTTCTTGGTGCTGTTACCTGTGTCTCACCTGTGTCACTTGTGCTACCTGTGCTTCACCTGTGTCTCACCTGTGTCTGTCCTGTCTCACGTGTTCTTCACCTGTGCCTCGCCTGTCGGTAGCTCACCTGGCTCACCTGTGTCTCACCTGTCTCACCTGTCTCTCACCTGCCCGTGTCTTACCTGTGTCTCACCTGTCTCAGGTGGTGCGGATGGTGATGTGGCACCACGAGGAGCAGCGGGGTCGGGCTGTGCTGTCATACCTGTGTCACACCTGTGTGTCTCACCTGTTTGTAACTGATCTCTCACCTGTCTCACCTGTCTGTAACTCATCTCTCACCTGTCTCTCACCTGTCTCTCACCTCTCTCACCTGTCTCTCACCTGTCTCACCTGTCTCACCTGTCTCTCACCTGTCTCTCACCTGTCTCTCACCTGTCTCTCACCTGTCTCTCACCTGTCTCACCTGTCTCTCACCTGTCTCTCACCTGTCTCACCTGTCTCTCACCTGTCTCACCTGTCTCACCTGTCTCACCTGTCTGTCGGCCGCCGACTTCGCGCAGGAGCGCCGCTGGAAGAGGGGCGTGGCCCGCAAGGTGGGCACCTGGGCACACCTGGGCACACCTGGGTGAAAATTCGGTGAAATTTGGGTGAAAATCGGGCTAAATTTGGGCGTTTTATGGTTGTTTTTGGTGGTTTTTGTGCACTGGAGCAGTTGTGGTGGCATTTCAGGTGGGTTTGGAGATGTGGAGAACTTGTGCCCTAAGCCTGGGCACACCTGGGCACACCTGGGTGATCCTGGGCACTCCTGGGCACACCTGGGCACACCTGGGCTCTCACCTGTCTGTGTCTCACCCTGCACAGGTGGTGCGGATGGTGATGCGGCACCACGAGGAGCAGCGGGGTTGGGCTGTGCTCTCTCACCTGCGTGTCTCTCACCTGTCACACCTGTGTGTCTCACCTGTCTGTGTCTCACCTGTGTCTCTCACCTGTCTGTGTCTCACCTGTCCCAGGTGGTGCGGATGGTGATGCGGCACCACGAGGAGCAGCGGCAGCGCCAGGAGCGCGCCAAGCGCGAGGAGCAGGCCAAGCTGCGCCGCGTGGCCGCCGCCATCGCCCGCGAGGTGCGCCACTTCTGGAGCAGCGTCGAGAAGGTACCTGGGCACGCCCGGCACACCTGGGCACACCTGGGACACACCTGGGATACACCTGGGGTATCGTTAAACATACCTGGGCATGCCTGGCACACCTGGGCACGGCTGAGATACACCTGGGACACACCTGGGGTATTGTTAAACATACCTGGGCACGCCTGGCACACCTGGGATACACCTGGGGTATCGTTAAACACACCTGGGCACGCCTGGCACACCTGGGACACACCTGGGGTATCGTTAAACATACCTGGGCACGCCTGGCACACCTGGGATACACCTGGGGTACAGCTGGGCACACCTGGGCACACCTGGGCACAGTTAAATACTCCTGGGTAGAGTTAAACACACCTGGGCACACCTGGGCACAGTTAAACACACCTGGGCACAGTTAAGCACAGCTGGGCACAGTTAAGCACACCTGGGCACACCTGGGCACAGTTCAGCACCAGCCATCGGTGCCCGTTGGTGCCCCCTGATGATCAGTGATGACCTTCGGGTGCCCACTGCTGACCAGTAATGATCACTGCTGACCCCTAATGACCTCTGATGGCACTAATGGCCATTGATGACCCCTAATGACCATTGATGACCCCTAATGACCTCTGATGGCCTCTAATGGCCATTGATGGCCCCTAATGAGTATTGGTGATCTCTAATGGCCATTGATGGCCCCTAATGAGTATTGGTGATGTCTAATGACCATCGGTGCCCATTGGTGCCCATTGACCCCCGTTGGTGCCCCCTGATGATCACTGATGACCTTCGGGTGCCCACTGATGACCACTGATGACCACTGATGACCCCTAATGACCATTGATGACCACTGATGACCTCTAATGACCATTGATGACCCCTAAATGATCGTTGATGACCATTGATGACCATTGGTGCCCATTGACACCCATTGGTGCCCCCTGATGATTACTGATGACCTCTAATGACCATTGATGACCCCTAATGACCACTGATGACCTCTAATGACCACTGATGACCTCTGATGAGCATTAATGACCATTGATGATCTCTTATGACCATTGATGATCATTGATGACCTTTAATGTCCACTGAGTGCCCATTAGTGCCCTTCAATGACCATTGATGACCACAGATGACCTCTAGTGACCATTGATGACCACTGATGACCTTTAATGATCATTGATGACCATCAATGATCTCTAATGATCATTGATGACTTCCAATGGCAATTCACGACCATCGATGACCCCTAATGATCACTGATGATCTCTAATGACCATTGATGACCTCTGATGAGCATTAATGACCATTGATGATCTCTTATGACCATTGATGAACCACTGGTGATCTTTAATAACCACTGATGACCACTGATGACCTTTAATGATCATTGATGACCATCAATGATCTCTAATGATCATTGATGACTTCCAAGGGCAATTCAGGACCATCGATGACCCCTAATGATCACTGATGGTCTTTAATAACCATTGATGACCATTGATGATCTCTAATGACCATTGATGACCTCTAGTGACCATTGATGATCTCTAATGCCCATTGATGATGACCATTCATGACCATTGATGATCTCTACTGACCATTGAGATGATCACTGATGATCTTTAATAACCATTGATGACCATTGATGGTCTCTAATGACCATTGATGACCTCTATTGACCATTGACGATGACCATTCATGACCATTGATGATCTCGAATGACCATTGATGACTTCTAATGGCCATTGATGGCCATTGATAACCGTTGATGATCTCTAACGATCATTGATGCCCGTTGATGCCCATTAATGACCTCTAATGACCACTGATGCCCATCGGTGCCCATCGGTGCCCATTGGGTGCCCATCAATGACCATTGTCAAGCATCGATGATCATTGATGACTATTTATGTCCATTGCGTGCCCATTGATGCGCATCAATGACCATTAATGACCATTAATGACCATTAATGACCATTGATGACCGTTGATGATCTCTGATGACCATTGATGACCATGGATGACCGTTGATGACCTCTAATAAGCATTGATGATCTTTAATGACCATTGATGGCATCTAATGACCACTGATAACCCCTAATGACCATTGATGACTATTGATGATCTCTAACGATCATTGATGCCCGTTGATGACCTCTAATGACCACTGATGCCCATCGGTGCCCATTGATGCCCATTGGGTGCCCATCAATGACCATTGTCAAGCATCGATGATCATTGATGACTATTTATGTCCCATTGATGACCTCTGATGACCACTGATGCCCATCGGTGCCCATTGATGCCCATTGGGTGCCCATCAATGACCATTGTCGACCGTTGATGATCATTGATGACTATTTATGTCCATTGCGTGCCCATTGTGTGCCCATTGTTGCCCATCAATGGCCATTAATGACCATTGATGGCCATGGATGACCGTTGATGATTTCTAATGGCCACTGATGAACTCTAATGACCATTGATGACCATTGATGGCATCTAATGACCGTTGATGATCTCTAATGATCATTGATGACTTGTCATGGCCATTGATGACCATTGATGACCCCTAATGACCATTGGTGACCTGTAATGACCATTGACGCCCATTGATGATCTCTTAATGACTATTGATGACCATTGATGGCATCTAATGACCATTGATGACCTCTCATGACCATTGATAACTTCTAATGACTGTTGATGACCATTGATGACCTCTAATGACCATTGATGACCTTTCATGACCATTGATGACCATTGATGATCTCTCATGACCATTAACGATCATTGATGGCCTCTAATGACCACTGATGACGTCTCATGACCATTAATGACCATTGATGACCTCTAATGACCACTGATGACTTCTAATGACCATTAATGACCATTGATGGTCTCTGATGACCATTGATGCCCATTGGCTGCTCTTCAATGACCATTGATGACCACTGATGACCATTAATGACCGTTGATGGCCTCTAATGACCATTGATGACTTCTAAGGACCATTAATGACCATTGATGGCATCTAATGACCATTGATGACCTTTAATGGCTATTGATGACCATTGATGACCTCTCATGACCATTGATGACCTCTCATGACCATTAATGACCATTGATGACCTCTAATGACCATTGATGACCATTGATGACCATTGATGACCTCTCATGACCATTGATGACCTCTCATGACCATTAATGACCATTGATGACCTCTAATGACCATTGATGACCATTGATGACCATTGATGACTTCTCATGACCATTAATGACCACTGATGACCTCGAATGACCATTGATGACTTCTAATGACCGTTGATGACCATTGATGACCTCTAATGACCATTGATGACCTCTAATGACCATTGATGACTTCTAATGACCATTGATGACCTCTCATGACCATTGATGACCACTGATGACCATTGATGACTTCTAATGACCATTGATGACCACTGATGACCATTGATGACCTCTAATGACCATTGATGACCACTGATGACCATTGATGACCTCTAATGACCGTTGATGGCCATTGATGACCTCTCATGACCATTGATGACTTCTAATGACCGTTGATGACCATTGATGACCTCTAATGACCATTTATGACTTCTAATGACCATTGATGATCATTGATGACTTCTCATGACCATTAATGACCACTGATGACCTCTAATGCCCCTCAACGCCCATTGGCTGCCCATCAATGCCCATTACCACCCCCGTCGTGCCCGTGCCCACCCCCCGGCACCCCTGGGTGCCCCCAGGCACCTTTGGGTGCCCCGGGTGAGCCCCGCGCCCCCCGCAGGTGGTGCAGTTCAAGCAGCAGTCGCGCCTGGAGGAGAAGCGCAAGAAGGCGCTGGACCTGCAGCTGGACTTCATCGTGGGCCAGACCGAGCGCTACTCGGACCTGCTGAGCCGCAGCCTCAACGCGCCGCGGCCCCGCCCCGCCGCCCTCACCTGGGGTTTGCAGGTGCTCAGGTGTCACCCGGGGGTGCCACGGCCTCACCTGGGGGTGCCCAGGTCTCACCTGTGCCCACTCAGGTGCCACCCGTGGGTGCTCAGGCTCAGGTGCCACCTGGGGGTGCCATGGCCTCACCTCTGGGTGCTCAGGTGCCCCTTGTGCCCGCCCTGGTGCCACCCATGGGTGCTCAGGTGCCACCTGTGGGTGCTCAGGGAGGCTCAGGTGCCACCCATGGGTGCTCAGGTGCCATCTGGGGGTGCCATGGCCTCACCTGTGGGTGCCCAGCTGCCACCCATGGGTGCCACGGCCTCACCTGGGGGTGCTCAGGTGTCAGCTGGGGGTGCCCAGGTGCCACCCATGGGTGCTCAGGGAGGTTCAGGTGCCACCCGTGGGTGCCACTGACTCACCTGTGGGTGCCAGGTGCCACCCATGGGTGCCTAGGTCTCACCTGGGGGTGCCATGGCCTCACCTGTGCCTGCCTCGGTCTCATTGTGCCCGCTCAGGTGCCACCCATGGGTGCTCAGGTGCCACCTGGGGGTGCCACGGCCTCACCTGTGGGTGCTCAGGTGTCACCCATGGGTGCCACGGCTTCACTTGGGGTGCCCAGGTGCCACCCAGGGGTGCCCAGCTCTCACCTGTGGGTGCCCAGGGAGGTTCACATTTAGGTGCCATTTGGTGCCATTTCAGTTCCATTTAGTACCATTTTCATGCCATTTTTGACCATTTTAGTTCCATTTTGTACCAATTTGGTGCCATTTTGGTGCCACTGTGCTCCATTTGGTTCCGTTTCGTACCATTTTGTTGTCATTCGGGTGCTATTTTGTACCATTTTGATGCCGTTTTGCTTCATTTTGGCGCCTCATGGTGCCATTTTCATGCCGCTTTGTACCATTTTGGGCCATTTGGTTCCATTTTGCTTCATTTTTGGTGCCATTTCATTCCATTTTGTACCTTTTTGGTGCCAGTTTGCTTCCATGTTTGGCCATTTGGTGCCATTTTGGTGCCATTTTGCTCCATTTTGGTTCCATTTTGTTCCATTTTGCTGCCATCTGGTGCCATTTGGGTACCATTTTGTACCATTTTCATGCCGTTTCGGTGCATTTTGTTGCCATTTTGTGCCAGTTTAGTTCCATTTTGTGCCATTTTGGTTCCATTTCGTTCCATTTGGTTCCATTTTGTACCATTTTGCTCCATTTTGTACCATTTTGCTCCATTTTGGTGCCATTTTGTGCTATTTTGGAGCCATTTTGGTGCCATTTTGTTCCATTTTGTGCCATTTTGGTGCCATTTTGTTCCATTTTGGTGCCAGTTTGTCTCCATTTTGTTCCGTTTGGTTCCATTTTTTTCCATTTTGGAGCCATTTGGTGCCATTTGGGTTCCAGTGCTTTTTGTTCCGTTTTATGCCATTTTGGTGTGTTTAGGTGCCATTTACCGCAGTGTTCGATCATTTTGGTGCCATGTGGAGCCACTTGCTGCCATTTTTGGCCATTATTGGTGCCATTTTTGGTCATTTCAATGCCACTTTGGAGCCTCTTGGTGCCAGTTTTGGTCATTTTTGGCCATTTTGGAGCAATTTGGAGCCATTTTGGACCATTTTGGTTCCATTTTGGACCATTCTGGTGCCTTTTGGTGCCATTTGCTGCAATTTTTGGTCATTTTGGTGCCATTTGGTGCCATTTTGGTGCTTTTTACTGACACTTTGGTTTCTTTTGCTGCCATTTGGTTCCATTTTGGTGCCACTTTTTGTCATTTCGTTGCCCTTTTGGGGCCATTTGGTGCCATTTTTGGCCATTTTGGTGCTGTTTCAAGCCTTTTTTGGCCATTTTTGTGCATTTTGCTGCCATTTTGATGCCATTTTTGGCCATTTTGGTGCCATTTGGAGCAATTTTGGTGCCATTTGGAGCCATTTCTGGCCTTTTTGGCCTTTTTTAGCCATTTCTAGCCATTTTTTTGCCATTTTGGAACCACTTCTTTGCCATTTTGGTGCCATTTGTTGCCATTTTTGGCCATTTTAGTGCCATTTTTGGCCATTTTTGGCCATTTTGGAGCCATTTTTGGCCATTTTTGGCCATTTTGGAGCCATCTTTTACCATTTCACTGCCATTTGGTGCCATTTTTTGAGCCATTTTTTGCCCATTTTGGTGCCATTTGTTGCCATTTTTTGTCATTTTGGTGCAATTTTTGGCCATTTTGGAGCCATTTTTGGCCATTTTGGTGCCATTTTTATCCATTTCTGGCCATCTTGGTGCCATTTTTTGCCGTTTTGGAGCCTTTTTTTCCATTTCGGTGCCATTTTTGGCCATTTTTAGCCATTTTTGGCCATTTTGGTGCCATTTTTAGCCATTTTTGCCCGTTTTGGTGCCGTTTTGGTGCCGTGTGGTGACCCCGGTGTCCTGGCAGGTGAGGATGAGGAGGACACGATCGCGGCCCAGGAGCGCCTGGAGGGCGACGTCGACCACCAGCAGGAGCTGGACGACCTGGCCAGGGAGGGTGAGTGACCCAAAATCACCCAAAATCACCCCAAAATCAACCCAAAATTGGCTCAAGATGGAGAAAAGCAGCAAAAAATACAAAAATCCCCATAAGAATAACCCAAAATATCCCAAAATTACCCCAAAATTATTCTAAAATCATCAGCAGGAGCTGGACGACCTGGCCAGGGAGGGTGAGTGACCCAAAATCACCCAAAATTAACCCAAAATCAACCCAAAATCAGCTCAAAATGGAGAAAAGCAGCAAAAAATTATAAAAAAAAACCCATAAAAATAACCCAAAATACCCCGAAATCACCCCAAAATCATCCCATAATCACCAGCAGGAGCTGGATGACCTGGCCAGGGAGGGGAAGAGACCCAAAATCACCCAAAATCACCCCAAAATTGGTTCAAAATGGAGAAAAGCAGCAAAAAGTACCAGAAAACCCCATAAAATAGCCCAAAATTACCCCAAAATCACCCCAGGTGTGCCCCAGGTGTGTCTCAGGTGTCCCAGGTGTGTCCCAGCCCCCCCAGGTAACCCAGGTGTGTTCCCAGGTGTCCCAGGTATGGAGGAGCTGCTGCAGCGTTACCGCGGCGCCTTCGCCGACTCCGACTGCGACTCCGCCCCCGGCGCCAGCAGCACCCGCTCAGGTGAGCCTGTGTGTACCTGGACAGGTGTGTACAGGTGTGTACAGGTGTGTGTGTGTACCTGTACAGGTGTGGGTGTGTGTGTGTGACTGTACCCGCTCAGGTGAGCCTGTACCTGCACAGATGTGTCTGTGTGCCTGCACAGGTGTGTCTGTGTACCTGTACAGGTGTGTGTGTGTGCCTGCACAGGTGTGTGTGTGTGTGTGTGACTGTACCCGCTCAGGTGAGCCTGTACCTGTACAGGTGTGTGTGTGTGCCTGCTCAGGTGTGTGAGTGTACGTGCTCAGGTGAGTCTGTACCTGTACAGGTGAGGGTGTGTGCCTGTACAGGTGTGTGTGTGTACCTGTACAGGTGAGGGTGTGTGTGCCTGTACCCACTCAGGTGAGCCTGTACCTGCACAGGTGAGAGTGTGTGCCTGTACAGGTGTGTGAGTGACTGCCTGAACCCGCTTAGGTGAGCCTGTACCTGTACAGGTGTGTACAGGTGTGTGTGTGTGTACCTGTACAGGTGTGTGTGTGTGCCTGCTCAGGTGAGAGTGTACCTGCACAGGTGTGTGTGTGCCTGTACAGGTGAGACTGTGTGTACCTGCACAGGTGAGCCTGTACCTGTACAGGTGTGTGTGTGTGCCTGCTCAGGTGAGAGAGTGTGTGTGCCTGCTCAGGTGTGTGTGTGTACCTGTACAGGTGAGAGTGTACCTGGACAGGTGTGTGTGTGAGTGCCTGTACCCACTCAGGTGAGTCTGTGTACCTGCACAGGTGAGAGGGTGGCTGTACAGGTGTGTGTGTGTCGCGCCCGCCCAGGTGAGCCCCGCCCCCGCCCCGCCCGCCGGCCCCGCCCCCAAGAAGGAGATCAGCGACATCGCGGCGGCGGCCGAGAGCCTGCAGCCCAAGGGGTACACCTTGGCAACGACGCAGGTGAGTGTACCTGGGCACACCTGAGATACACCTGAGATACACCTGAGATACACCTGAGATACACCTGAGATACACCTGGGCACACAGAGCCTGCAGCCCAAGGGGTACACGCTGGCCACCACGCAGGTGAGCTCACCTGAGATACACCTGAGATACACCTGGGGGGGTTAAACACACCTGAGATACACCTGGGCACACAGAGCCTGCAGCCCAAGGGGTACACGCTGGCCACCACGCAGGTGAGCGCACCTGGGCACACCTGAGATACACCTGAGGGGGTTTAACACACCTGAGATACACCTGAGAATATAAAACACACTTGGGCACACCTGAGATACACCTGTGCCTGACTCACCTGGGCCTGACTCACCTGTGCCTGACTCACCTGTGACACACCTGTGACTTTGAGGGTTACCTGTGTCTCACCTGTCTCACCTGCACAGGTGAAGACGCCGATCGCTCACCTGCCCTGCGGCACCCTCCGCGAGTGCCAGCACGTGGGGCTGGACTGGCTGGGCACCATGACATGGGGATGGGGGTTACCTGTGTCTCACCTGTGACTTTGGGGGTTACCTGTGCCTCACCTGCGCAGGTGAAGACGCTGATCCCTCACCTGTTGAGGGTCACCTTGTGAGAGTGCCAGCACGTGGGGCTGGACTGGCTGGGCACCGTGACAGGGGGATTGAGGGTTACCTGTGACACACCTGGTGGGATTTTGTGACTCACCTGTCTCACCTGTGCAGGTGAAGACACCCATCCCTCACCTGTTGAGAGGCACCCTGAGGGAGTGCCAGCACGTGGGGCTGGACTGGGGATGGGGGTTACCTGTGCCTCACCTGTGACTTTGGGGGGTACCTCTGCCTTACCTGGGGTTACCTGTGTCTCACCTGCGCAGGTGAAGACGCCGATCCCTCACCTGTCGAGGGGCACCTTGAGAGAGTGCCAGCACGTGGGGCTGGACTGGGGGTCTGAGGTTACCTGTGACACACCTGGGGGTGTTGTGTGCCTCACCTGGGGGTACCTGTGCCTCACCTGGTGGGGTTCTGTGCCTCACCTGTCTCACCTGTGCAGGTGAAGACGCCCATCCCTCACCTGTTGAGAGGCACCCTGAGGGAGTGCCAGCACGTGGGGCTGGACTGGGGATGGGGGTTACCTGTGCCTCACCTGTGACTTTGGGGGGTACCTGTGCCTTACCTGGGGTTACCTGTGTCTCACCTGGGGCTTACCTGTGCCTCACCTGTGCAGGTGAAGACGCCGATCCCTCACCTGTTGAGAGGCACCTTGTGAGAGTGCCAGCACGTGGGGCTGGACTGGGGGTCTGAGGTTACCTGTGACACACCTGGGGGTGTTGTGTGCCTCACCTGGGGGTTACCTGTGTCTCACCTGGGGGTTACCTGTGCCTCACCTGTGCAGGTGAAGACGCCGATCCCTCACCTGTTGAGAGGCACCTTGTGAGAGTGCCAGCACGTGGGGCTGGACTGGCTGGGCACTGGGGCTGTGACAGGGGATCTGAGGGTTACCTGTGACTCACCTGGGGTTACCTGTCTCTCACCTGTGCAGGTGAAGATGCCGATCCCTCACCTGTTGAGAGGCACCTTGTGAGAGTGCCAGCACGTGGGGCTGGACTGGCTGGGCACCATGACAGGGGGTTTGGGGTTACCTGTGACACACCTGTGACTTTGGGGGGTACCTGTGTCTCACCTGGGGTTACCTGTGTCTCACCTGTGCAGGTGAAGACGCCGATCCCTCACCTGTTGAGGGGCACCCTCCGCGAGTGCCAGCACGTGGGGCTGGACTGGCTGGGCACCGTGACAGGGGGACTGAGGGTTACCTGTGACACACCTGTGACTTTGGGGGGTACCTGTGACTCACCTGTGTCTCACCTGCGCAGGTGAAGACACCCATCCCTCACCTGTTGAGAGGAACTCTCCGCGAGTACCAGCACATCGGGCTGGACTGGCTGGTCACCATGTACGAGAAGAAGCTGAACGGGATCCTGGCCGACGAGATGGGGCTGGGCAAAACCATCCAGACGATATCGCTGCTGGCTCACCTGGCCTGCGAGAAAGGTAACGCACCTGAGAGACACACCTGAGATACACCTGAGACACCTGGGATACACCTGGGAGTGATAACACACATCTGAGAGTCACTGCACACATCTGAGAGTGCTAACACACACACCTGGGCTGGGCAAAACCATCCAGACCATCTCGCTGCTGGCTCACCTGGCCTGCGAGAAAGGTAACGCACCTGTGTGACACCTGAGATACACCTGAGAGTGCTAACACACACCTGGGATACACCTGAGATACACCTGAGAGTGATAAGACACACCTGGGCTGGGCAAAACCATCCAGACGATCTCGCTGCTGGCTCACCTGGCCTGCGAGAAAGGTAACGCACCTGGGATACACCTGTGTGACACCTGAGAGTGCTAACACACACCTGGGATACACCTGAGACACGTGGGATACACCTGAGAGTGATAACACACACCTGGGCTGGGCAAAACCATCCAGACCATATCGCTGCTGGCTCACCTGGCCTGCGAGAAAGGTAACACACCTGGGATACACCTGTGTGACACCTGAGAGTGCTAACACACACCTGGGATACACCTGAGACACGTGGGATACACCTGAGAGTGCTAACACACACCTGGGCTGGGCAAAACCATCCAGACGATCTCGCTGCTGGCTCACCTGGCCTGCGAGAAAGGTAACGCACCTGAGAGACACCTGAGACACACCTGAGATACATCTGGGATACACCTGAGATACACCTGAGACACCTGGGATACACCTGAGAGTGATAACACACACCTGAGATACACCTGGGTACAGCTGAGAGTGCTAACACACACACCTGGGCACAGCTGGGCACACCTGTGTGACACACCTGGGCACACCTGGGAGTGCTAACACACACCTGAGAGTGCTAACACACACACCTGGGCTGGGCAAAACCATCCAGACCATATCCCTGCTGGCTCACCTGGCCTGTGAAAAAGGTAACGCACCTGAGAGACACCTGAGACACACCTGAGAGTCTCTCACCTGTCTCACCTGTCTCTCACCTGTCTCACCTGTCTCTCACCTGTCTCACCTGTCTCTCACCTGTCTCACCTGTCTCTCACCTGTCTCACCTGTCTCTCACCTGTCTCACCTGTCTCTCACCTGTCTCACCTGTCTCTCACCTGTCTCACCTGTCTCTCACCTGTCTCACCTGTCTCTCACCTGTCTCACCTGTCTCTCACCTGTCTCACCTGTCTCTCACCTGTCTCACCTGTCTCTCACCTGTCTCACCTGTCTCTCACCTGTCTCACCTGTCTCTCACCTGTCTCTCACCTGTCTCACCTGTCTCTCACCTGTCTCACCTGTCTCTCACCTGTCTCTCACCTGTCTCACCTGTCTCTCACCTGTCTCACCTGTCTCACCTGTCTCTCACCTGTCTCTCACCTGTCTCTCACCTGTCTCTCACCTGTCTCACCTGTCTCTCACCTGTCTCTCACCTGTCTCTCACCTGTCTCTCCTCTCTCTCTCATCTCTCTCACCTGTCTCACCTGTCTCTCACCTGTCTCACCTGTCTCTCACCTGTCTCTCACCTGTCTCACCTGTCTATCTCACCTGTCCATCTCACCTGCGCAGGTAGCTGGGGCCCGCACCTGATCATCGTGCCCACCTCGGTGATGCTGAACTGGGAGATGGAGCTCAAGCGCTGGTGCCCCGGCTTCAAGATCCTCACCTACTACGGGGCACAGAAGGAGCGGCGCCTCAAGAGACAGGTGAGCGCACCTGGGCACACACCTGGGCACACACCTGGGGGGATTGTAGTGTGTAACAGACAGGTGAGCGCACCTGGGCACACCTGGGGGGATTACAGTGTGTAACAGACAGGTGAGTGCACCTGGGCACACCTGGGCACACCTGGGCTGGTTTTAGGCAGTTTTTCATGGGTATTTTGGCTCACCTGTCTCACCTGTCTCACCTGTCTCACCTGTCCCACCTGTGTCACCTGTCTCACCTGTCTCACCTGTCTCACCTGTGTCAGGGCTGGACGAAGCCGAACGCGTTCCACGTGTGCATCACCTCGTACAAGCTGGTGCTGCACACCTGGGGCTGCACACCTGGGCACACCTGGGCTGGTTTAGGGCAGTTTTAAGGCCATTTAAAGGCAGCTTTTGGCTCACCTGTGTCACCTGTCTCACCTGTCTCACCTGTCTCACCTGTCAGGGCTGGACGAAGCCGAACGTGTTCCACGTGTGCATCACCTCGTACAAGCTGGTGCTGCACACCTGGGGCTGCACACCTGGGCACACCTGGGCACACCTGGGCCTGTCTCAGCACATTTTTTGGTGATTTTAAGGCAGTTTCTCATGGGGATTTTGGCTCACCTGTCTCACCTGTCTCACCTGTCTCACCTGTCTCACCTGTCTCACCTGTCTCACCTGTGTCACCTGTCTCACCTGTCCCACCTGTCAGGGCTGGACGAAGCCCAACGCGTTCCACGTGTGCATCACCTCGTACAAGCTGGTGCTGCACACCTGGGCACACCTGGGCACACCTGGGCTGGTTTTAGGGCAGTTTTAAGGCCATTTTAAGGCAGTTTTTGGCTCACCTGTCTCACCTGTCTCACCTGTCTCACCTGTGTCAGGGCTGGACGAAGCCGAACGCGTTCCGCGTGTGCATCACCTCGTACAAGCTGGTGCTGCAGGACCACCAGGCGTTCCGCAGGAAGAACTGGAAGTACCTGATCCTGGACGAGGCGCAGAACATCAAGAACTTCAAATCCCAGCGCTGGCAGTCCCTGCTCAACTTCAACAGGTGAGGGGGCGCACCTGGGTGCACCTGGGACACACCTGGACACACCTGGGGCGCACCTGGGCACACCTGGGGTACACCGGAGTTAGCTGGGGTTCACCTGAGTCTGATTGGATACACCTGAGCTGGGTGCTGGGCTCACCTGTGTTACCTGGGCACACCTGGGACACACCTGGGGTACACCTGAGTTAGCTGGGCTACACCTGAGCTGGGTGCTGGGCTCACCTGTGTTACCTGGGCACACCTGGGATTACCCTGGGCACACCTGGGGCACACCTGGGCACACCTGGGACACAGCTGAGTTAGCTGGGGTTCACCTGAGTTTGATTGGATACACCTGAGCTGGGTGCTGGGCTCACCTGTGTTACCTGGGCACACCTGAGATTACCTTGGGCACACCTGGGGCACACCTGGGACACACCTGAGTTAGCTGGGGTTCACCTGAGTTTGATTGCATACACCTGAGCTGGGTGCTGGGCTCACCTGTGTTACCTGGGCACACCTGGGCACACCTGGGGTACACCTGAGGGACACCTGAGTTAGCTGGGGTTCACCTGAGTTTGATTGGATACACCTGAGCTGGGTGCTGGGCTCACCTGTGTTACCTGGGCACACCTGGGGCACACCTGGGCATGTGTGGATAGACATGGCACGTACCTGGGCGGGTGTGGATACACATGGCACGTACCTGGGCAGGTGTGGATAGACATGGGATGTACCTGGGCAGGTGCAGGTAGACATAGGATGTGTCTGCGGCACACCTGGATACTCGTGGGTGGGTGTAGATAAACATGGGATGTACCTGGGCACACCTGGGCAGGTGAGGGGCTCACCTGAGTTGGGCGCCCTGCTGAACTCGCTGACGGGGCCGTGCTCCATGATGGGGGGGGTTCAGTTACCTGTGCATACCTGTGCTTACCTGTGCGTACCTGCGTTCACCCATGCGCGTGTCCTCACCTGTGCGTACCTGTCCTTACCTGTGCGTACCTGTCCACACGTGTTCGTACTTCCCTTACCTGTGTGCAACCGTCCGTACGTGTTCGTACCTGTTCTTACCTGAGCGCGTCTGTGCTTACCTAACTGTACCTGTCCGTACACGTTCACACCTGTCCTTGTGTGTGCTTGTCCTTACCTGTGTGTACCTGTTCTCACCTGTCCTTACCTGTGCGTACTTGTGCTCACCTGTGTGTACCCGCCCTTACTTCTGTGTATTTGGTTTTACCTGTGTATACCTGTCCTTACCTGTGCGTACCTGTTCCCGCCTGCCCTTACCTGTGTGTACCTGCCCTTACCTGTGCGTACCTGCTCCCACCTGCCCTTACCTGTGCGCACCTGGTTTTACCTGTGTGTACTGGTCCATACATGTTCATACCTACCCTTACCTGTGTGTACCTGCCTTTACTTGTGCGTACCTGTCCATAGATGTTGATACCTCCTTTTACCTGTGTGTGCTTGTTCTTACCTGTGTGTACCTGTTCTCACCTGTCCTTACCTGTGTGTACCTGTGCGTACCTGTCCTTACCTGTGTGTGCCTGTTCCCACCTGTCCTTACCTGTGTGTACCTGTTCTCACCTGTCCTTACCTGTGTGTACCTGTTCTCACCTGTCCTTACCTGTGTGTACCTGTGCGTACCTGTCCTTACCTGTGTGTGCCTGTTCNACTGGTCCATACATGTTCATACCTACCCTTACCTGTCTGTACCTGCCTTTACTTGTGCGTACCTGTCCATAGATGTTGATACCTGCTTTTACCTGTGTGTGCTTGTTCTTACCTGTGTGTACCTGTTCCCACCTGTCCTTACCTGTGTGTACCTGTTCCCACCTGTCCTTACCTGTGTGTACCTGTTCTCACCTGTCCTTACCTGTGTGTACCTGCTCTTAGCCCTGTGTACCTGTCCTTACCTGTGTGTAGCTGTCCTTACCTGTGTGTACCTGTTCCCACCTGCCCTTACCTGTGCGCACCTGGTTTTACCTGTGTGTACTTGTCCATACATGTTCATACCTACCCTTACCTGTGTGTACCTGCCTTTACTTGTGCGTACCTGTCCATAGATGTTGATACCTGCTTTTACCTGTGTGTGCTTGTTCTTACCTGTGTGTAGCTGTTCCCACCTGTCCTTACCTGTGTGTACCTGTGCGTACCTCTGTTCCCACCTGTCCTTACCTGTGTGTACCTGTGCGTACCTGTCCTTACCTGTGTGTACCTGTGCGTACCTGTCCTTACCTGTGTGTACCTGTTCCCACCTGCCCTTACCTGTGCGCACCTGGTTTTACCTGTGTGTACTTGTCCATACATGTTCATACCTACCCTTACCTGTGTGTACCTGCCTTTACTTGTGCGTACCTGTCCATAGATGTTGATACCTGCTTTTACCTGTGTGTGCTTGTTGTTACCTGTGTGTACCTGTTCCCACCTGTTCTTACCTGTGTGTACCTGTTCCCACCTGTCCTTACCTGTGTGTACCTGTGCGTACCTGTCCTTACCTGTGTGTACCTGCTCTTAGCTCTGTGTACCTGTCCTTACCTGTGTGTACCTGTCCTTACCTGTGCGCACCTGTGCTTACCTGTGTGTACCTGTTCTCACCTGTCCTTACCTGTGTGTACCTGTTCCCACCTGCCCTTACCTGTGCGCACCTGGTTTTACCTGTGTGTACTTGTCCATACATGTTCATGCCTACCCTTACCTGTGTGTACCTGCCCTTACCCGTGCATACCTGCCCTTACCTGTGTGTACGTGCCCTTACTTGTGCGTACTTGGTTTTACCTGTGTGTACTTGTCCATACATGTTCATACCTACCCTTATCTGTGTGTACCTGCCTTTACATGTGTGTACCTGTGTGTACCTGCCCTTACCCGTGCATACCTGTCCTTATCTGTGCGCACCTGTCCTTACCTGTCCTTACCTGTGCGTACCTGCCCTCACCTGTGTGTGCCTGTCTTTACCTGTGCGTGCCTGTCCTTACCTGTGCGTACCTGTCCTTACCTGTATGTGCCTGTCCTTACCTGTGTGTGCCTGTCTTTACCTGTGTGTACCTGTCCTTACCTGTGCGTGCCTGTCCTCACCTGTGCATACCTGCCCTTACCTGTGTGTGCCTGTCCTTACCTGTGCGTAATTGTCCTCACCTGTGCATACCTGCCCTCACCTGTGTGTGTTTGTCCTTACCTGTTTGTAGGCGTGCTCACTCGCGCGTACCTGTCCTTCCACGTTTGTAGCTGTTCTTACCTGTGGGCGTGTCCTTACCTGACCATATTTGTCCATACCTGCCCTTACCTGTGTCAGGTATCCCACCTGTTCCTGCCTGTCTCACCTGTCTGTCCGTGCCTTACCTGTCCGTTTGCATCTCGCTTTTCTCACCTGTCCCTGCCTGCCTTGCTTGTTTGTACCTGTGACACCTGATGTGCACCTCTCTCACCTGCCTTACCTGTGTCATCTGTATCTCACCTGTGTTACCTGTCTGTCACCTGTGTTACCTGTCTCACCTGTCTCACCCACCTTACCTGTGTTACCTGTCTCTCACCTGTGTCACTTGTCTCACTTGTGCGTACCTGCCTCACCTGTTTTACCTCTATCACCCGTCTCACCTGTCCTTCACCTCTCTCACCTGTCTCTC